GAATCCCCGCCAAACCCGCCTGCCCCCCTCCTTCGCGGCCTTCCAGCGGGCCCTCCGGGACACTTACAATGCGGCTGGGCTCGACGGGCGGGAGGCTTGTGGATTGCAGGGCCTCTCGGACCGCTTCCCTGGCCTCCTCCACGAGCTCTGGGCCATCCTCGTCACCAGCGAAATGGGACGCCAACCCATGGGCCGATGAGCGCATGCGGCATGCGGGCTTTCGGGTCTTGCGCTTTCGGGGCCTTGCGGGTGGTCGGCATTCCTAAGCGGGGGTCCGACGACGCCCAACCGATCGCGACTGGGCCAGTCTGGATGCGAGCGTGGGGCCGTTGCCTCCTCGACGCGCTGCCCGCGCCCCCTGCCGAGGCAACCGGGGAGAATGGCGCCGTGGCCTCCGTGCATGACTGGGCCGCCGCGCCCCGCGACACGGGAGCTGAGGTCGACCTGAGTTGGGCCTACGACTCGGTGGACCACGTACGGCGTCGCAGGCGCCGCCCTCAGGCGCCAAGGTACACCGCTTCCGGTCGCGGTTGCCCTGGATGCGGTCTGGCGGGCCCCCCGGTATTGATCGGTGGCCGGGGACACTGCTGCTGCTTTAAACCCTACTCGGGACTTGCCACCTGGCGACCCCCTCCCGGGCCGGGTCCTCAGCGTGGGACTCTGCCTCTGGCACACCGCGGTCCGCTCGGTGCCCAGAACGCGCGCGTGGTCCTACGTGGACGACCCCGGTCCCTCAAGGCCGCCGCGGCGGTTGATCGGGACACGGCCTTAGCGATCACTGCGGAGATCGACCGGCGGCTCGGCTGCTCAGAGAGCATCTGGAAGCGGCAGGTTTGGTCTGGCACCCAGAGCACCGAACGCTTAGGAGTGCGGGCCGCTGTCGGCGACGCCGCGACCTGGCCCCAGCTGCCTGGGCCTCGGGACGGATGGGACCAGGCCCGTTCCCAGGTGCGCCAGCTCCGCGCGGTCCCTAGCTGGCAGCGGATCAGGGAGCTCTCGGGCCTGACGTGTATCGTATCGTTCCTAAACATCGGTGGTCGGCCGCATTCTGCGCGATCCCGCCACGTGACCTGATCGCGCTCACGCATAGGTCTTCTGCCCGGACTCGTTGCACCTGGTGGCGCGCTCGGCGACGGTACGCCGAACGGGTTTCCTTGCCCCTTGTCTTCGGCACGGCGGGCGCTGTGCTGACGGCGGCTCGGGGGATTCCCGCGTCGCGGTTGTTGTCGGCCGCGCTCTCGGAACATTTTGGGGTGTTCGGGCTGCTCCTGGTTTCGTCCAGGTCGCTCCCCGAAGGCGTCTTGCTGCTGCAGGCCCCAGGTCTCGACCCCCTGGCGGGGGCGGCGCTCGCCGACGCTGCCACCGCGGACAGCCGCGAAGCGAGAACCCGGCACCCTAGGGCCCCCCCCACGCCCCCACCCCCCGAGGGCCTTCGACGCCTCATCCGATCGCGGTCAGCACGTTGTCCGGGAGTGCGCCAAGGCGGCGCCCCTGCGCGGCGCCCAGGCCCCCGCCGCGCCACGACGAAAAGGGGGATCGGGGAAGAAATTGCTGCCTAGAGCGCGCCGCCGTGGGCTGGGCCGATACGACGCGACCCCCCTCGCCGTTTGGAGGGGCGCGGCCGTGTGCACGCCGACCCGCAGGCACGGCGGCGCGTGCTTTTGCCTGTGTGGTTGCGGGCACACCCAGGCTTCGGCTCGCATTTTGCTGGACGTCGGCTCGAACTCGGGGAGAGGCTGCGGGTCGCGCCGGCCTGGTGGGGGGCCCAACCCGGCGTCACAGCGAAGACGGGGTGGATCATTAAGGCTGCTGGGAGCTCGATCCAGCGACGGGCTCAGCTGCAGGCGATGGCGTGCAGCCTGGGCATCACCATCATGCAGGCGGTCGCTAGCCTCGGCGGGTGGGCCTTTCGGGGACGCGGTCCCCCCCCCTGGAACCCACCAGGGTCCTCCCCCTTACCTCCCCGCACCCTCCGGCGGACGGCGGCCAGGCGGGCGGCGGGACGGGTTGCGACGACTCTGACGACCTCCCTCCCCGTCCTGGTGGTGGTGGCTGCGGTGCCGGTTGCTAAAGTCCGATCGAATCCACCTGGTGTCCGGTCCTGTCCGCCAGCCCTCCCCGGCGCCTCGTGTCCCTCGTGGCGTCCACTTCCGCTTAGCGCCCTGGCCGTTCTGGCCTGGGGGCGTAACTGGGTTTCGCAGGCGTTCCGCGCCTGCTTTTCGAGCAGCCAGGGCAAAGGCACCCTGCTACTTTCCACTCTCCAGGAGGAGGAGGAGGAGGGGGAGGAGGAGGAGGAGGAGGAGGAGGAGGAGGAGAAGGAGGAGGAGGAGGAGGAGGAGGAGGGGAGGCGGGGAGAAGCAAGGACCCGAGAAGGAGACAGCAGCAGCCAGGTCCCATAACAGGAGGTGAGAAAGGAAAAGGATGATGGACGAGAAGGACGAGGAGGAGAAGGAACAGGAGGAGGAAGAGGGGGAGGGGAAGGAGGAAAGGGAGGAGAGGGAGGAGAGGGAGGAGAGGGAGGAGAGGGAGGAGAGGGAGGGAGAAGGAGGGAGAGGGAGGCAGAGGAGGAGGAGGAGGAGGAGGAGGAGCAGTAGCAGGAGGAGGAGGAGGAGGAGTAGGGCAGAAGGACAAGAAAAAGGAGACCAGGGAGGTGGGAGACTGGAGACCAGATACTGCGCGCGTAGCGTCCACGAGGCCCTGCGCGGGGCGTTGTGCCATCCGATCGGGGTCCGATGCTGTTGATGGCTTATCCCCCCCACTGGTAGTACAAAGGAGTACTTCCTTCTCGTCGATACACAGTTCGCAAGATCGGCCAAGAATGCTTCACATATGCGAGTGGTCGAACTTGGGTCCCACATGATAGCGCCGCGACTCCATTCATCCTTATCGTCTGTGTCCACCAGCGCAAGAGCTCGAAAGTTTAAGCGAACGTGTTGCCCACACCAGTGGTTGCACTCAATTCCGTCGCACTGTATTTCGTCGCGCGCTGACTCCCCACTTTTGCCATGGCACCATAGCATTCTAGGAGGGCCCAGGCTCGATGGCCGGCGGCGGTGTCACTGCTGCTGGGGTCGGTCGCGCTACTCACAGTGAGGCTGCATGTGGTGGTCGCGGTGGGTGCTGCTGTCGGGGAACGCGGGTGAACGAATGAGTCAGGAGGAGAGGGAAAGGAAAGAGGAAAGGGGAAGGAGGACGGGGGCTCGCTGGAGGCCCTGAAGGCGGATCATGGATCTGGCGGGGACGGGCGAGGGCGGGGCCTCGGAGGGTGCCTCCGGCAGCGCCAGGAGGCCCAAGACCAGGGAGCCCCAGGATGGCCCAAGCGGGTCCCGGGAGGCCCCCAGGACAGCCCAGAAGGCCCGCAACGGGAGGCAAAACAGCCACAAAACGGCCCCGGAGGTCCCCTCCCCAAGGTTCCTGCAATGGCTTCCCCAGCAGCCGGGTGACCACACAAGTTCCACAAGCGTGGCCGCACGTTCTCTCGACGTTTCACGACACCGGCGTTTTCAAAAGGAACGGTGAAGGGGCCCAAGGACACACAAACAACTATACGCAAAACCCGGGATTCCCCATATTTCTATCTTTTCTGGGTTTCCGTCTTCCCCTCCACTTCCCGTGTGTTCCTGCTTTCTCATGGGAGCCCACATTTATGTGCGTCTGTGTGTTTCTTCCCTCCTGAAGGGGGGCGGCCGTGACCCGCCGAAGGCGATCTCGAAAGCACGAGGCCCCCTCGGCAAGCGCGCGCTCGGCGGCCTTCAAACTGCAATCCTCCGAAAAATCGAGGTTCGCCTCCACGGGCACTGGCGTGGTCAGCCACGTCCCGACGATGTCGCCCGAACAAAACACAATGAGCATCGTTTATCCGACCCCTACCCCATGGGCGTGGCCTGGGCCCCACTGGCCAATTAATCCCCCTAGATGGGGATATTGACCGTGTCCTTGGGTTTCGAAAGGTATATCCCCAACTGGGGCGCTGAGATGGTGGTGGCTTGGACAGGGATGGGGATGGGGATAGGGGTCGGCGAAACGATACTGAGGCACTGGCGTGGTCAGCCACGGCCCGACGCGATCGCCCGAACAAAACACAACGCATAGAGGGGTCGGCGGATGTGGCGTAAGCGTAAGCCTAAAGAAGCGAGGTTCCCCTCAACAGGCACTGGCGTAGTCAGCCACGTCCCGAACTCGGAGAGGTGGAAGGTGCAAGTTAGCGGTTTCCAAAGTTGGTTTCGGGACGTCGCTGGCGAA